AAAAGCCTCTCTCCCTTTTGGTCCCCACTTTGCCGGGTTGGCACAGATTGGCCTCTCACAGTTGAAATTGCAGACCCCAGCTGCGAATGCCAAGGTCCCAGGGACTCGCTTGTTCCGAAAAAAAAGGCGCCACGCCGGATCCAACAGTTGGCGCTGGGGCGGGCTCATGCTTACACGCAAGGAATCAGGAAGAACAAAACCCCGCCTCTTGTCAGTATGATGTACTGCTGCATTTGCCAAGCTCAGACCCCCTGGTTAGGAATGTTCGGCCTGGCCCAACGATCACGTCGAACGTGCAGGCGGCTGATTTGCAGAGAACACGCCGGCTCAATACCTGGGCATGGCCGCCAAGGCTGATGCAGCCTGTTTTGGGCCAATGGCCGAAGAGGGAGCGAATTTTGAAATGGGTGCAACTTCCGTGTAGAGTGTCCTACCGTTTTAGGAATGCCAGAAAGTTGAATGCAATGCGCCTGGTTAAAATGACCACCTGCCATGAGCAGCTAACTCTTTCCGCCTCCAGGGATCGCGCGCCAATGCTGTGAACCGGGCCATATGAAATTGGATACGACGACTTTGAAACAACACAGACCTGACAGTAAGAGTATGACGACAAATTGCTGCAACCGGGTACATATTCACACACTATCAGCAAACCACAACAAACAAGCGATTTTGCTTTCAGCGTGCACTACCGAGAGAAAGCCATCAAATCGGTCAGCTGAGAGCGACACGCCACCGCCACACTCCTCCAAGGAGCCAACAACGCGTCCTTGTCGAGGCTTGGCCTCCTTAGTGGCGAATTTCGCGGCCTGTCGCTCCCGATTTTTCCTGTGGATCACAATCCGCGGGATGCCCCACACAGTTCAACCGAAGGAAAGTTGAAAGCCCGAATGCGCGGACCTGCGCATGAACTCCTCTTCTGGCCGTAATGGGAAACCAACGGTGCCCCCAAACAGCACTCGGTTCATGCGTGAGCGAAGTCCCATGTTCGGTAGCCTGGCTGCGGCCCCCCCAGCCCCTGTTTTGGCGAGGTGCTTCTGTCCTGAGCGGGCCGAAGGTCACGCATAGGTTTCGACGCCCACAGCTGGCTACACAGAAAATAACATGTTCTGGGTTTTTTTTGGACGCCCTCCCCGAGGAGACATCCCCAGCGCAATAGCCTTGTGTTTCACAATTTGCCCTATTTAACTATAGTTTGAAGGGAGACCATGTCCCCCCCATTTCAAATCAACGCCCAAGTCCTGACAGGCTTTGCGCATGATCACTGGCAACTGGCAAATCTGATCTTACTTTAATTGTCTTTCCCGATGATCTTCATGCTTAGAATCTTAGAATTCGCGTCTCAAATCCTGAAAGACCTCTTGCCGCAAGAGCAATAATAGAAAAGGTGGCCACAAAGCAAGCGGCAACCAACAGGCTGAAGGGTTTCTGTTGACCTCAAAATGCTTCTCGCCTCAGCCCAAAGCAAGTCACACAACGACAGCTCATTCGAACTAGAAATGCATACAACCCTTGTCGATGCTCTACAAAGGCTGAAGGCATGTGCTGGGGTGTTCGTATTGCGTGTTCAAAGGCGCGATTGAAACTTGCACTTGCAACCAGGAGTTGAATCGAACAACTTGCAATTACAACCAGGAACTTAAACACAAACTGGTTCTTTTTTGTGATACCCCCAACTTTCACGCCCTGAAGCGAAGTAAGAGGCACAGCGACGAAGGTGCTGCATGATTAGATTGCACGTGCTGGCATGTGATGTGAGCATATGTGAGCGTCCTTTTCGATTGAAAACTCGCCGCGCGGATTGCCCGGACCGACACAGGTTCTTTGGTCCTCTCGCATCGCAGGGACCTCGCTAAACCACGCTTCCCAAAACCTTGGCACCTTGGTATGGTAGATCAAGTCAGGCATTGTCGCACAGTCGCCCCGTTTTTCGCTCAACTCGAGAGCTCGCTTACCCAATCTGCCTTACCCATCCGAGACGCCGAGGGTGTGAAGCTGCTGCTCCTGCTGGTGGACCTTCTGCTGGAGATCGCAGAGGTGCTGGCCGCTGCAAATAAGCCTCGAGTTCGAGAAACCGGCGGCTGGAAGGCTGGAACCCGGGCCATGTCTGCAGTGTGAGGGATGACACACGTGAGCCTAACATCTAACACGAGCCAGAGTCGGCGCCCAAGGTCAACCACACAACCCTAAACATCCAAATAGCAAACGTATCAGTCGCATGATCAGGTAGGGGCCTTCGTAGGAATGAGGGATGACCAAGGTCTCTTTCCTGGAATGTCCCGCAAATGGCCAAATCTGCTCTTGTCACTTTGAAGTCCTTTCGCGCAAATCCCTCAAGGCTGGATACGCTGACCAGCTGGAGACAGCCGTCTCCACTCCGAGGTGCTCGTACTGCACAGCCTTCCGCTTCTGGATCTCCATCAGCAATTCTTGCTGGGCTTTTGCCTCGGCATGCCCACAGGTCTCGAACTTCCAACTTCGCACTGTGAAGAACGGCGACTACAAATGATTCCACTTGTTGTTCACTTATGACTTTTTCGGTTGCGCTCCCCGGCCTACGGCAGCGAGACCCAGCCGGCAAGCAGAGGCTGTGACTTGCAGCAATAAGAAAACTATGGAAGCTGACAGGTGTGGTTCATGAAAAATGCAGCAATGTGCGGGCGGCCCTTGCGGGCAAAACAAACTCAGCCCCTCTCACACCCCAATATTGAGAAGATTGCAATCCTGGTCTTGCATTAGATTGGCCCTTTTACTTCTCACCAAGGGATATGGAGGGGCTCTTTTCCTAAGGGTAGCCTATTCGGGTTGCTTTGAAGAAAGGCACCGGGAGCCTCCCATACTTCACTTCGTGAGCAAATCGGCAAAAAACAAAAACACGCAAACTTTTTTGTTTAAATCTACCACTAAAATGGTCTTCCCAAAAAGTACCAAGACCAGGAACTCAGGAAGTAAGTTGGTCCTAACATTTGTCCTAGATTGTCCTTAGGTTGAAGGCTTTGAGAAGCTCAGCATCGCTAAGCTCATGACCAGCTCTCCGTCACAGTCCTGCGGGAGCATTTGTGCTTTGCACCGGCAAAGCTGGGGTTCTCAAATAGAGGACCCCCCCTTTCCGTTTCACAAGGTCTTAAGGGAAGCCAAAAAGCAAACTGCTAGCTCTATGGGGTCCCCTTTGAGAACAACCACATCTGTTGCAACAACTTAAATGGGGACCGAAAGGAGGTGCTTTGAACAGCAAGGCGTTGGGCCAAACCCTGGGGCCGGGGGTGAGGGACATGCGGTGAGTCGAGCACACTCTGTGGATGCCCTTTGGCCAGCTCCTTGCATCCAATCGATGGGAACAGAGGGCTGAAACATAAATTCCCCTCAAAAGTGTCTTGGTGGGTTCCGTGTGGGCCATCAACCAGCACCAGAAACAAATTCACACGATTGCTGCCCCATAGCCGGTAAGGCTAGAAGGTAACAAGTTCGGCAACCAAACAGGAGTGACATCAAATTGCAAGTCCATAAACTCCTTGCCTGAGTGCGTACCCTTTTCTTGAACGCTCCAGGCTCCAGTCGAGCGTCTGCCCATGGAGGGCAACTCTATGGCTTGACCTTCCAACTGCCCACTGGGCGCACAGAGAGCCCGAGGAAAGGTCCTTCTGCTGCTTTTGCTTGGCCTTCTCCAACTCGGATTCCTCAGTCGAAGCCCCGAAAAAGATGCCCAGCCTTTCCCGTCGACAAAACATGAGGTCTGATACAACCCCTGGTGCAGGTAGGTGGTCTAATATGTGGCTGGTACAGATCTATTGGTGATGGCCTTTGCGGGACGGTTTTTAGTCCTTCCCGTATGTGACTTGCTAGGGAGTTGTTTTTTTGACCTCTCATGGGGCCAAGCGGGATATGAGATGTTGTCAGTTACAGTTGGAAAGCAAGGTTCTGAAGGAAGTTATCCAGTTGGTGGCCAATAGGTGGGAACATCTCAAACCGGGATTCCGTGAGACAACAACAGGGAAATCAGCCAATCTGCGCATCGAAGGGGGAGTCCTAGGTTTTCACACGTGTTGGCATTCACGGGCGCTCGAGGGGACCGACACCGCAGCGCGACCTGCGAAGAAAGCTCGTTGCAAACGGGATCCCCTCAACTTGTGAGTTGTGTCCTTGCCGTTTTGTGGTAGCGGCCAGCTTTAGTCACTCCCGTGTCAAACTTGGTTCGCAAGAGGCCAATTAGATTCAGGCGGGTGCTTTCTGTAGCGGGTCCTTCATGGGCCCGGTGGTTCAACTCCTGGAGGCCGCCTTCTGTCCAACCAAGCCGAACGAAATCTGGAGGTGCACAGCCGGGCAGCTTCACTATCCCCACCGCCTCCCCCCAATCAGCTAGAAGTCAGATAATAAAATGCCTCCCATGAGAAGTCCAGTACGGATTGGGGTGGTAGATTGTGCATGCCTGCAGGCCAGCAAGCAAAGTTCCCACATAGGCGCTTGTATCAAATTACTTCGCAAAGCTGGGAAACCACACTAGTTGAACAAAAGTGAAGCCCAGTGCAAACACGAAATCTACCTGGCAACACGACGGGTTGTAGATCATTCAAGCATCCAACCCATTCAGACCATGTGGACGTACTTTTCGAGGCTACCATGTTTAGCGCTGGTTAGGAAGTTAAAAGGAACATCACCATTTGCTTTCCTGAGCCCCCCCCCATTTTGACACACACCCATTTCCGTTTGGGGGGTCAGCGGCTTCATGGCCACGCCCCTCCCCCCTCCTTTGCGTCCCAAGGGGCCAGCTGCTTCACCCGCGCTGCCAGGAGCTGAGCGTTTGCCTGGAACCCATGAGAAGCCATGAGTCTCACCCTGGTCTTAAGTCGCAATCGGAGGTTGGCATTTGCACCAGCCGCGCCATGTTTAAGATTCTTTTAAGGTGGCCTGAAAGGAAACACTCAAAGCTCTCTTATGATGTCTAATGGACTCTTGGGCTTGCATCTGTTTGGAGCAGGGGGTGATGTCATCCCTTGCCGATGCTTCGAGCAAGGCGGGGTTTCAAACATGTTCAAAACGTTGCCTGCCACATCCCAACTGCTGTGCATCCTATGCCTGTCGGATGGAAAACGGCTTGGAACCACCTGACTTCTTCCCGCTCGTGTCGTACTTTAGGGCGCCTGATGACAATCCAATGTAGCATCTTTCAATTGTCTTTTGTGAATATTGGCCCTGAGTGATCTACCATGAAGTCCTAGACTTGGTTTGCAATTGAGACATGTATTTGCACTATGTTGCAAACTGCTTGGTTTCCTGTTTGTTCAGCGGCGTACTGTGCATATATGAATCTACTTATATGTCTCACATATAGACTTGGCTCACTCGTTTGTTTGATGAACCATGATGTAGTGACTCACTGCGTGCGTACGCCCGCAGATGTGTGTCTACATACTTATATGTACTGTATGTAGCAACATGAAACCTTAATATGTCCACCCCCCGCGAGGAGCGCCGTTCTTTTCCTAACCAGCAAGTCCACGCCCTAGGCGAGCGGAGGCGAGCGCCTCCGCCTTGTCCGCGCGGCGCTGCTCCCGTAGCAACTGGGCCTGGCGCTCCGCGGTCGACGTTCGCTCGGATGAGTTGAAGGTAGGGAAAAACACGGTGAATCCAGAGCCCTCCTGGTGCAACAGGGAATGATTGGATATGACCCCGAACTAAATCATCCAAGTGGCTTTTGCCCAGGTAGCTGGGATCTGGGAAAGTCAACCAGCCAAACTACAAAGCAAAACCAAAAGACACACGGTCGTCAACCGTGCTTCGGGGGTTGAAACCAACAAAATGGTACAGCAGTCGCCACTTACCATGTCTGAGGGGAGGCCGTCAAGTGCATGTGTGCATTGCCTCACTTCCTTGAGGCTGAAACCAAGGCCGAACATGAAATCACTGTACACCAATCCAACCCCTCCCAGCCTCAGAAAACATTACCAAATACCTGATGCCTGCACCCTGCCATTGGGCCAATCACTTTGCCTCCAAGCTCTCATCGCCCGACTCCATGCCCGTGGATGCTTCCTCGGCTCGGGTGCATCGCAAGAGAAGGACACAAACAGTTGGGAGTCAGAAGAGCGGGAGACTTAGGAAGTGTTGGGGAGCGTGCTCTCATGAAGGTGCGGCTTGGAGGTATGAAGCCGCGCTTCATTTCAATTAGGACTCGCTACTGCTGATGTGCTGGGTTCTGAAGAGACACGTGTTCTACACAAATATCAACCAGACAAGTTGCTTCGAAACTCCCGGCGTCCGCAAACTACCATCCTCGCACATAATTTCAAATAGCTACTTTTGCAAGAGCCCTCCACGAGCAAAAGCAAGCTGTGAAAAGAACACACGCCTTAAACTGCTCACAGCGTACACTTCAGGGGCTCCAGCTCGAAAATTGCAGTTATCTTCTCAGTTTTCAGGTTTTCAAACGCCAAGTTCAGCAGCTCCTGGAACCTCGCCGGAGTCTTGACGCTGAGTACCTTTCCGGCCTTGCCTTGCTGTCAGCCTCGCAGCCTCCGCATGTGATGGCGCAAGGCTTTTGCGAGCATACAGCCATCGTTTGGCAGAAGCGCGCCCCTCACCCCACCCCACCAGGTACCTCAAAAGCCTCGAGGCCACTTTTCGGGAATATGAAAAAATAGAGCAGGCTTACCCTGGAAAAGCAAAGCAGCAGTCCTGGGCCCAGAACGTGCAACCAGTCCGCAAAGCTGACCGGTTGCACAAAACGATCAAAACGAGATTGATGAAAACGACATCCATCCTTGTGAAAGCCATCATGGAGGCTGATGCAGATAGGCTACGTAAATCAAATGGCCCCCTTTCATCATGCAAGCCTTTGGGTCAACTCAATTCAATCCCAGCAAGTCGAGCAATGTGGGTTGGATATCACTCAAGCGCTGGCCACAGCACACTTCGTCTGTATCTAGCCCTGCCACGGCAGGACGCTCTCCACAAAAAGATGTCAAGTCCAAACGTGCTGGAACACCTGAACCACACTATCCAACATGCCCTGCTATTGGCAAACGCGAAACCGGATAGCGCACCTCCCACTACTATTGGGCCAAAGCCAATCCAACAGCTCCCGACCTAAGCACAATTTGGGCGCTAAACTAGGGGGACCCCCGAAAAATGACCCCCCCTCCCCTTTGGCACGAACTTGGGGGAGGGTCCAATTTAATCTTGGAACTTGATCAGGGGTCAACCCGGGGGGGTTCCGTTGAAAGCCAAACCCGACACTTGCCGTGGCTCCGAGTCCATGGAGCTGCGGGGCCCACAGCCGCGCAAAACGCCACGCGCTCCCAGCCGAATTTTGCTGCGGCCGGCGTCGCGTCACGTGTCCGTAACTGAGGGCTGTGGGGCTTTAAGAGGAAACCACACTCCAAGAGGTTTCCTGTTGCCCAGTTTGGTTGACCCAAAGCCTTGTGAGACATGCCACGAGAAAGCGGCCCAGCTGTGTCTGAAGCGGTGATCCAAACATGTCTAGGGGACCAGCCCCCCGCCACCGTGCAAACGTCACACACCAAGAGCAACACATGTTTGCACTGCGTGGGATGGAGTTTGTCCATTGACCCCGTACTCTTATTCATTCAGTTGCACCATGCTGGCGGGGTTTCTCTTCAACTTGTGAGTATGGGCATCTTAGATGTGGATACCCCCCCGTGCCCTAGGCCCCCTCCCTGAGCAAGCGCTCCAAGGCACCCTGTGCTGCAATAGCGCAAGGCGTGATCAATTGTTTCAGTCAAAAAAGGATCATTTCAGAGGAACATTCCTTGAACCCCTCAATGCCTGCCCTTCTGGAAGCAGGCCTGCACGTGTCAAAAGCATGTCGCCGCTGTGTCGGGGGAAAAAAAGAAGCTTCTGCAAACCACTTTCGGTGTCCGGCAATGCCATCGTGGTATACATGTTTGGTCCTTGGCTTGCTTTGTTTGAGGCAATGCCGTCATCGCCCAAAACGTCCACCGAAACGTTGAACTGTGTTGTGGCCAGGCTGGTGCACCTCAGGGCCTCGCAAGAAGTATTCTGCAAATCGCGTGGAACCCAAAAAGCCACGAGTTTTCGCGGAGTCTCCTTTGGGGGTATCACGGTATCCCCTTGTTGGGCTCCATGTTGACTTGCAAAGGATAAGTTCTGGCATACAGCGTGGCTGACAGTTGCAGGCCCACGAGAGGCGAAGCAACACTGCAACCTGAAGCGCTAACTTAATTACTTCAGCAAGCGGCTCTTGCGCTGGCTGGAACTAAAGCTAGACAAAGATACCAACTGCACATAATTGCCCCAAGCGTGTCTGACTGTGCCGTCGATTCGCTGACCCAACATATGCATCAGAATGTTTCGGCAACAATGTGGTCACCGCAGATTTCTTCCCTGTCAGCGGCCTCCGACTCAAACTGCTGGCGCACCAGGTCGTTGAACTGAATTCTGACGACGCCACTGATCCACTGCACCAACGCTTCACGCACGTGCTTGTTAACCTGCTCGAAGCCCACACTCGCCTGACGAAGTCGGAAGGTCAAGGCACGAACAGCTGGGACTTTCATGCAAGATCTTTGCGGACATGAAATGATCCTGCATGCTCTGGCAAAGCAACAGCAGCAAGACCCTTGAACTTCCAGCAAAAAGATGCAAGCAATTCAACTTCGGTCCTGGATGATGGCCTTCACATTTACTTCGTCCTCTCTACTATGAGCTTCCGCCTTTGCAGAGTCGACTCTGCAAAGTGAGGAGGTGACCTGCCTGATCCCAGGCTCACCTCGCCGTGAGAAGAAAACCGACCGAAAGTACGAATTCCCCTCACTCATGAAACAAAACGAACCCTCAGCTTCATGGGAACGAACCAAAAAATAAAAATACCTATTGCATAACGAACTTTTTAGAGGGGAGAGGGGTATGAAGAACAGCACTCCTCTGGTTGCCGCAAGCTGGCTGAACCAAGCATTTCAAGCGTGAGGCCAAGAATGCACCCAAGCCTTTTACAACAACCCCACCTTGCCTTGCAGGATCTTACGTGTCAACGACCTTTGGGCGTGCTCTGGCATCACAAAAGTCACGGGAACCTTGACAGAGTAGGCCACGTATTGCTCGTAGACAGTCCAGACCCTCCGAAGATAAACCGGCTCACTCCAGTCATCCAGGATGGCAACAACTTGCCCAATGCTGCGTACGTGCTCTTCAAACGTTTTGCCCAAATTATCAGTTCCACAGCTGGTTTTATGTCTCAAAATCCGAAACTGATTATTCGTGAAGAAGCACATGAAGAAGAAGACCTTGTTGGCTTCACGGACGGACCTGCTCCAGATCTTTAAAGCGCTCTGCAGCTGCCCTAAAGTGTAGTGCCAGGTCCATGACATAAAATGCGTCTGAGCCTTGCGATGTGATTTGGAGAGTAAGTCCACCAGAGCGCACCCTGGATCGCCATCGCGCGGGCACACCACGTGCTCCCCCAGTGGCTGTGGATCCAGCCAAAATACCTGCTTCAGTTCGTAAAAATCCGGGTTGGTCTTCCTGGCCCTCTGCTGTGCTAGTTGGGTAAATTCCGAGAGCAGGTACCTCAGGCCGACTCCTGCGTGGTTGCTGTGTCGCTTTCTGATCTCGGCAGCTTTCTGAAGCACCTCCTCATGTGCCCAGCCAAGGGCCTGCAACTGCTCCGAATATTTTGGCACGGTGCCTGGCTCCTCCTCCCACAGTTCAGCTTCCAGCATTCGCTGCACCTCCTCTACTTTCTCCTCATGTCTTTGGATTCTCTTCTGCCTGCGCTTCGTCAGAGTAGTGATCCATAAAAAGCCACCGAATGACAAGAGCAGCAATAAGAGGATGATGATCGGCAGGTGCCACCAAATGCACTCATCCTCCCAGCGCATCAGCGGAAGGGAGCATGGCCGGCAGGCATCCATGTCTGCGCGCGCAAAGTGACCGTCCGCACACTCCACACAGCTGCTTTGGTCTTCATTCGCCTCAAAACCGGCACCGCAGCGCTTACACCTCGAGTCGGTGCTGGAGATGGAGCCAGGTGGGCAACGGCCGCAGGCGGTCGCATTGATGGGCTGTGACCCTGCAGGGCAGGCGACGCACTGCAGCGCGGGGGCTGCGCTGAGGTTCTGCACCCTCAGGGGGTTTCGGCAGCGGCAGCAAGACGCCGCTGTGAAAGCATCGCCTTCTATCAAGACGCCCTCGGCCGGGCAGGAGAAGAACTCACATCGAGGCTTCAAGAAGGCCAGCGAAGTGCCTAACAAGACGGACAGGACTTAGGAAAGTACACATGGGATGCTGCATGATTCCACTGTTGTTCTGAACAAGCAGCTTCAAACAAACATACACGGCGCCCTACCGTATTCAAGCCTTATCTGGCAAAAGCGTGGGTGCTGCCTGCCATACATTTACTTCTCCTGGCATCCACAAATCCATTGCATGTGCTTTTTTTGCAAATTGGGGGGCACTTCGAGGTGGGCACCCTGATGCACCCTGCCCTCCGGCCAGCCTTCTCCGTACTTCTTGGGCAGGCCTTGCTCTGTGTGCAGGGTGCAACGCTGGTCATCTGCCAAAACAAAGGCCGAGCAGTTGATCCACGAATCGCATGCCTCGGCGCAGTGGCGGTAGCCTCTGGCAACGTATTGCCCGCCGGGCCCGCCGCTCTCCCAGTGACCGCTGCCGAGTTCCACGAAGCGGAAGTTCACAGGGTGACAGGCGCTGTCCACGCAGGCCTGCTCTGAGCTTTCGCAGGGCCGAAGTGGCTGGTGGCAGCTCGGACACTTGGCAAACTGCAAGAGCTTCTGCTGCTCTGGTGGCAACCCCCGGGCTTGGGACAGGGACATGAGGTTGCAGGCAGACATACCACTAGAGCCCACAAAGCCACTGATGGCTGCTGCACTTTGTAGGGATGAGAAATCCCACGTGCCTAAAGGCTGATTGAATGCCGCAGCACCAAAGAACATGCTTTCCATGCGTGCAACCGAAGAGGTGTTCCACTCGTCCAAGGGCTTGTTAAAGTTCCTTGCCTGAACAAACATGTAGCCCAAGAACTGCACAGAACCCGTGTCCCAGGAGTTCAGCGCTTGATTAAACGCCACCGCGGCGAAGAACATGGCGCTCATGTCCACGACCGCCGAGGTGTTCCAACTATCCACGGCGCGATTAAAGCTGGCAGCATCCTGAAACATTGCCGCCATGCTTGTCACGGCGGAGGTGTCCCAGCTGCCGATGGCCTGCGCGAAAGGAGAAAGGAGACAGCACACAAAGCGAAAAGGGAAACAACAGAGAGTGTTAGTTTCTCATGCTTTCGCAAGACGTATTGTTCTGTTGTTTGGTGAAGCTCAAGGCGGTGGAAGGTGGTGTTTCCCCAGTGTGTGTGTGTGCGCGTGTGGGTGTGTGTGTGTGTGTTCGTCCAGGATACGCCCGTGTTGTATGCATGCATGCCACAAGCTTGGAACCAGTCGCAGTCTGTGGGACCTTGGCTTTTTGACTGCGAGCCCTTTGCCCCATCCTCAGAAACGGCAAGGTTGCACCACCGAACCTTGACGTGGCTCAGATAAAGTTAGCTAAGGTTGCCAACTGAAAAGGTAAACGCATGGCAAAACCCAGCAAGACCGCACGAAGAGCGATGAGCAACGGAAACTATGTGCCCCCAGCCAGCTGTTTGGCAAATCGCTGAGTTGCTGAGGGTTGGCTGGCAGCATTGGCGGCAGTCCGTGCTGAAGGCAAAATTTGGCTTCGATTGAGCCTGCAAGGAAGTGGGGGGGGGGGGGGGTTGATTGGGGTGGGTCTGGCTTTAGATGTCATCTCACCTGGGCACCGAGGCGAAGTCCCCATTTCTGAGCGCCACGAACTCGCTGGAATTACTTCCCATTGCCCCCTGCCCCGAGTCTCAATCGCCACGAAGCGCCTGGTTGAAAGCAAGAGCGCCCACGAACATCCCCTCCATGGATCTCACGGAAGAGGTGTCCCATGCATCCAAGTCCTGGCCGACTTGAGTCGGAACGAATGGGATTGCCTTGGGCCAGCCAGCGGATTTCTTTGCACAGACCTGTTCAAAAAGCAGCTCAAACTGTCAACTGACCCAAGCCAGGATCCGAACCTGAGGCCCATACAATGATTCTAAACCAGAACCAAGTACCAAGCAATACTGAGCCAGCGCTGAGCCACTATGAAACCAATACTAGAGCAGTACTAAACCAATACTGACGACCCAACCAACATTCTTCACGAATACAGAAGCAGTAAACCAATACTGGAAACTACTGGGGCGCGAAACTTCTTGTAGATGGTCGCCCTCGACCTACTTTTCAGGGGCGGGGGGGGGGGGGGGCACATTAAACAGGACACGCGACACCGGCCTGGTTAAAGACAATGGCATCATAGAACATTGCGGACATGTACTGAACGGCCGAGGTGTTCCACTTGTGCAGCGGCTTGTTAAAGCTCTTTGCCTGGTAGAACATGTGACTCAGATCCGTTACAGCGGAGATGTCCCAGGTTTCCAAGGCCTCGTGGCTGCCGCGCGACTGCCAACAACTTAACTTCTCAAGCAAGCGCCCAGCCCAATGTAATGGCAGCTCACACACTCATCAGGGACTGCTGTTGTGGTTGAGCCCACACAAAAGTACGTCTTCTCAACAACGCCTCAGGGGTCTATGACATTTGCCCTTGTTCTCCCCGGGTTCTGGCTCCTCTATGCCTTAGTCTCAGTCGCGCCTGGTTGAAGTCCGCGGCTGCGAAGAACATTCCGCTCATGTTCACCACTGCCGAGGTGTTCCACTTTGCCAGCGGCTGATTGAAGCTTGTGGCGCCGAACATGGCGGCCATATTCCTCACAGAAGAGGTGTCCCAGGCTTCCAAAGCCTGAAAATGCACGGTTTCAGCATTCGGCCCTTGCGGCCAGATGCGGCCAGCATTCCCCGCTACTGTATCCAAATACAAGGGGGTCGAAAGGCGAACTGCAAAAAATGCAAAACGAATTGATGCGCATGCGCATTGCCACAGCCTGTGCCCCACAACCCTAGCGAGCTTGTCATCGAACCCTGCCATGCCAAGCCTGATTGAAGGAAGTGGCATGCCAAAACATTCCGTTCATATACTCAACGGCCGACGTGTTCCACTTTGCCAGCGGCTGGTTGAAACTCTCGGCTCCGAAAAACATGTCACTCATCCCTGTCACAGCGGAGACGTCCCAGGTGTCCAAGGCCTCGCGGGCAAAAGGCCGTCCCAAATCCTTCCCTCGTCAGGCAGCGTTGGCTGATGGAATGGAACCGCAAGGAATTGTTGCCAATGCTACATGTGCAGCGGCAATCGCAAGAAGTAACCGCGAGAACGGCACCAAGCGGAAAAGCAAAATATTGAAAGCCAACCCTGCCGGGCCTGATTGAAGGAAGTGAGGACGAACATCCCGGTCATGTGCTCAACGGCCGAGGTGTTCCACTTTGCCAGCGGCTGGTTGAAACTCGTGGCTCTGAGAAACATTTCAGTCAGGTTTGTCACAGCGGAGACGTCCCATTCCAAGGCCTCGTGGGTGCAAGGCCGTTACCTACAAAAGGCCACTTGCAGAGAAAGTCTTGCGCCGTGCTTTTTTTTTAGTTGTGGGGCCTATACACTGGAAGCACGTACCTACGCGGAGGCTACGCGGCTGTCTTTCCCCCTAGGAATTTGGCTATGCGGAGGCTACGCGGAACAGTTGATAAGTGGCTACGCGCGGGCTACGCCGGAGCTGCGCAAAAGTGCGTTGGCAAAAGGGAGTAGTAGAAGTAGCAGCAGCAGCAGCCGCAGTGGTAGTAATGTTGGGCCCTGTTTACACCACCCCCCCCCCCTTGCTAGGAGAGGAACCAATCAGCTGGACCCTCTTTAAGCGAGATCCTGGGGGTCTGGGAGGGACAGTACTTATTTTAGTATTGCCAATTCTACTTTAGTATTAGGGTCACATTCCCAGTACTTACTTTAGTATTGCCAATTCTACTTTAGTATTGCCAAGGCTGACCCACAGATTCCCAGTACTTACTCTAGTATTGCCAATTCTACTTTAGTATTGCCAAGGACCGTTTTTTCAGCAACCCCAAACAGGTTAGACACCAAAGAGGACCCCAAAACAGTCACATTCAAAGAGGCTCAGGGCCTCTTGTGGACACCCCCCTTTGTGTGACTGTTTGCCCGTACTTTTTGTGTAAAGAAGTTATCTTGAATTTGATGGTTTGGGGGCCACTCGCAAAATGAACTTCCTAGATCCAAGGCCTTTACCATTTGAGCTGGGAAGAGCTTGGTTAGGTGAACCACCTAAAAGTAAAAGGCTAAGGCTTGAGTCTAATAATTTCAGCAACCCAAAAAAGCCGTTGAACGCTAAAGAGGACCCCAAAACAGTCACATTTAAAGAGGCTCAGGGCCCCTTTTGGACACCCCCCTTTGTGTGACTGTGTGCCCGTACTTCTTTCTTTTTTTTTTAAGAAGTCATCTTGAATTTGATGGTTTGGGGACCACTTCAAAGAATCCTGTTTGCCCAGATTTGTTTGCTCGTTTTCTTTGCTCGATTTCTTGGCCAAGTTTGTTTGGCCCATATTTCTTCGGAGGCTTAGTCCCAGACAAGATCAGGAGAATAAACAACATGTTGTTGTTTGTTTTTTTTTTTTTTCCGGGGAAACATTTGCTGCAATTGAGGGCCTCAGAACAGTCACAACATCCTGAATTACGAGCAAAAATGTGCTACAATAGAGTGGGCTAGTAATATAGGAGGTGTAGCATTAGTAGTCGTAGTAGTCGTAGTAGAGGCAGCAGTACAGTAGTAGCAGTCGTAATAGTGGCAACAGTAGTAGTGGCAGTAGTAGTCATAGTTGGAGTGGTAGTAGTGGTAGCAGCGGTAGTAATAGCAGCAGTAGGCATGTGGGCCAGTGGCCTTGGGTACGCCTTGGAGGCTACGCGGAGGCTACGCTGAGGCTACGCGGAATGAGTGAACTCAGCTCTGGCCGGGCCAAAACAAATCAAAGTCACCCTCTTTCTTTGAGACATTCAAGCTTTCAACCTAAGTCTTTAGCTCAAGACAAAGGATCTATGCAGAGGCTATGGGGACGATTATCGACAGCTCCCTTTGCTAGTGGCTACGCGGGGGCTACGCGAGGCTACGCGGTCCCAGGAGGCTACGCGGTCCCAGGAGACTACGCGGCCACCATGCCACTTCCCCTCTGCTTTTCATTCCTGCAATTGAAAAAAAAACACAACGCTGCTCTAAATGGGGAGACTCGCTGGACTCCAAATCCTAAGTCACCGGCTTCGAGTGCCAAACGGACGGCAAATTCACATCAAACCACCCACGCATTTCCAGCCACGCATCGTGCCACTGAGCTTGCTGCGGTTTTGGGGGGAGCTTTGTCGGGCATGCGATGGTTGCGGTTCTGCGCAGCGCTTGCCAGGGCGGCGATGGCTAAAATAACCAACAAGTCGATTAACGCACAAAAAGAAAGCCAAATCAAACAAACACTTGTAAAATACAAGCATCAAGCCGAGAAAAGGGAGAATGGCGAAAGGATGCGAAAGCCGAGCACAAACAATCCCAAAGCGAGCAGTTCTCAGATCAAAACCCGGGCCTCGTTGAAGGCGGACGCGCTGTCAAACATGCTGCTCATGTCGCGAACCGCTGAGCGCCTGGTTAAAACTGGTGGCCCGCTTGAACATGCCCCGCATAGAGCGCACGGAAGACGTGTCCCACGGCAAGGGCTGGTTGAAGGATGTGGCTTCCTCGAACGCGAAGCCTCGGTGGTCTCTCACGTGACTTTGGTCAGAACATGCGAGCGGAAATGAATGGACCAAAGCCCGATTGAACGGCACCATTGCGCAAGTCGGACAGCGAATGCGGTACCAGCGGCACGCCAGCATTGTTAAAAGACTGTTTCGTTGCGTAGGTGTCAAATAGGGGATCTAGAAAGGTGGGAAAAAACACCCACCTGGTGCAGTCATAGTGTTGGCTTGCTGCTCAAAACCGCTGGGGACTGCCCAACTGCGTCTTGCCCAATGTCCACATTCCAGGCAGCTCATATCCTCCACGGCAGACGTGTTCCAAGGGATGGGCTCATTGAAATCGTGGAGGCCTACACACCGGCTCCCACATAGCACTGGTGGGAAGGTAGCTGGCAAACGAAATTTCCTAGGGACTGGGCCATGGGAGGGTGCGACGGATTCCTGTTGGGCATCTAAGTGTCAACAAGGCTTTAACCCAGGAATGCTCAAGTGGCCTGCGATCACCATCCAAAGCTGGACATGCACTGTGAATGCTGGCGTTGCTGCCCGCAGATATTGCATGGGGAGTTCGGCGCGCCTCGAAAGAGCCCACTAAAATTGGTCACGGCGGAGACGTCCCACTCCTCAATATCGCCCCAGAGGTCACCCAGCAGCTGCCGCTCGGCCTCAGCGGCATGCGCCCAGGTGACCAGCGCGTCCCTGAGAGATGTCCTCCAGGCAAGTGGAGGGGCAGGGCTGGAGGTTTTGGCCATGGCCTTCAAAGGGTAAGCGCGGGGCCATGCACTTGTGGACTCTAGTCATAGGGGAAACTCCGAGTGCAAACTGCAGTGCTCTTGAGGCATGCCAATCCCAGGACATGCCAAACCCAGGCCAAGCAAAGCATATCCGCCTGTTCTGGAAGGTCGCGCCGCTTGTGGCAACCGCGGCCAGGGCGGCAAGAAGCGAAGCTCTCATGGCGGAGGCATGGGGAATTTTGGAACGCCTGGGCCAAAACAAACAACACATTGCGGCATGGCGGGACTTCTGGCATCCTGCAGCCACCCCCCCCCAAAAAAAAAGCCACCGGCACAGATCCATACTGCCCTTTCGGGCCTTAAGCATCTGGCTCCAGCCGGTCCCTGCCATCCCACTACCCTGAGAATTGACATTGGAATCCGACGAGGGGAAAATCGACCGATCCCTCTAAACGTAACGTTTCGTTAGATTGATCGCATGTTGATGCGTCCATGTTGATGCGGAGGCCCCGCGCTTCGCATTTTTTAAAGTTTCGGATGCGAGGGCTTCGGGGCGGATGCGGCAGCAAGTCGCCACGGGGCCGTTTCCACTTCCAGAGTTAGCTGGGAAGGGGTGAGGGCGCGAAGCCCGGATGTTCCACCGGTGCAACCACATTTGCTGCTTGACAAAGAGCCCCCAAGAGCCCCCAAGAGCCCCCTGGACAAGCCTCCATTAGAGAGTCCCGTTCAAGGCTCGGGGTGTCAAAGGAAGCGGCCCCGCTGAAAATTGAGCCCTTGCAAGGCAAAAGTCTGCAAAAAGTGCCACGCAGACCGCCCATGCAGCACATCTGCTCAGGCCTGTACCAGGAGGACCTCTGAGCACATTTGCCCAGGTAAACCGGATGCAAATCTGCGAATGCCACTCTCGCTATGCAGCAAAGAAAGGCCAAGTGGCAGACGCACTCACTGGATGCACCCTAGAACCGGGTCTCCAGTGTGCAGGTGTCCTGCAAACCAACGGAGGGCAACCTAGCCGCAAAGGCGTGGCTGAGGATACTGAGGCCAGGAGTCCACCGTGCGGCTAACCCTCCGCAGTCCGTCTCTCCGCGTGTCGCAGGACCCGCCAAGAACCAAACACCAAAACACGTGTCGTCTGACTTGGAAGCCTCAGGGACATCATCCCTGTCCAGCTCATGCCCTCTGCCTTGGGTTTTGCCGTTTTAGCTGAGTGAATCACAATCAGCCAGCACAATAAAATAAACAGTCTCCATGAAGAGAACGCCAAAAACCGTAAGCCCCTGGGTGAGATGGCTCTACTTCAATTTTTGCATTGGGTGTGAAGCCCAACTTCTCCCTCCGCCCCCTTCCGTCCTTGAGCGTCACCAATGCCAGCCAGTTCCCTTGCAGCCCTTCAAGCGGAAGCTTCAGCCCGAGTGAAGCCTCAGGGCCCCCTTTTCCCTGCGCCTACGGACAGGGCCAGCTCAATGCTTTTGGAGAAGCCCCTTGCTTCAGAGCCATTGCATTGCATCCGACCTTTGACGTGGCAAGCAATGGCTACATCTAGCATACATCTAGTAACCTACCAAAAGTCACCAGCTTTCCGCGAATGGACACAAACCCAAACCAAGTCTCAAAGGCTAGTAAGAGACTGTGCTGCTGCAAAAGCGAAGAACACCCTCCTTGAACTTAACATCCACCAGAATTCATGCACGGCTTACCCCCTCCAAAAATAGTTTTTCAAACTTTCAATGCAGTCATCACCACTTTCGACAAGATTGCACTCGACTTGCCCCCCTCCGTCAAACACTCCTTGATCTGTCAAAGCAGCCCCCGTGTCAGCTCACAAGTCAACCCCTGGTGGGTCTGTGCTTGTTGGCCTATGGCGCGGTACCCTTCCTCTCTCGCTGCGTAGCTTCCTACATCCCTGAAATTGGCAAAGATCTGGCTGCAACCTGCCCTTCGCTGAAAAGTATCCACCCTCAGAACAAAGCTGACACTGATTCGTCAAGCTGCTGGTTGTCGGTGTGCAGGAACGGTTGCTGGACGGGCGGTACCCGTAGTCCATGAGACCTCGCACACCAAGTCTAGCCAAGCTTCGGCTACGCATCCCCCAACAAAAAACTGTCAAACAATAGAATCGCATAGGGTCATCAAGTCCGACATGACAAGGCTTTAAAGCGACTCAAGCAAGCCGTTTATCGTGCATGCCCACGGGCCCAAGGGAAAATGGCCAATGAAAGCATCCTTCCTCCTGTCCCGAGGCATTGAGCTTCATCGGCGCTGCCTTTGTGACACCGTCACCGACAAGCCGAAATCATCCTCTGCCGAACCTTACCTTTGTAAGGAGGGCAAAGCGTACCATTTTGGCCACACGCACCATGTTGGGAGGGTTCCAATTAAGCAGAATCACAAAATTGCAAACATCAGCCACCTTCCGCCGCGCACGCCTTGCAAGTCGCACCCAGCGCAACGAATTACTTACCCGCTCACCTATTTCACCTATTGGATGTCTGAATGACATGTTGCCCAATGGGCGCCATTCGCAACCCAAAGTGCTGACCGACCCCGGAGGAATAACCAGGCGGATCAAAACACCGCAATGCAGATGTAAAAAGCAACCTCTAAGAAGGAGTACCTTTCTCAATCCTGGGTTTCTTGTTTAGCTGCTCCGTGAACTGAAAACAAGCTTGAGGAGCAGACTGAACCAGCAGCAAGCCAAACCTCCGACGACTCTGCAGTTCCCCACAGAAGCCACGCATGGCAACTCCGGACAGGGCTCGGCATAGAGAACCACATACTTTGCCTCCAAATAGAACCCCCCAAATTGGTGGTTTCCCCTTTGGTGTCCTTTCAAAACAACCCTCAAAAAGGACGAGCAGCAAAACAGCAGACATGACTCGACATCTACCCCATGGAAACCCATGCAACAACTTTCCACGTTGTGCCCAGGTTCAAGTGGGCGCAACAGTCAAGCACAAGGAAACTGCACGAGCTGTCCTACATGGCTTTCTGCCAAGCCTGCCATCGACACGTACAACCTACCACTTGATGTGCTTCGCCGCTTCTAACTCGATGCCAGGCTGCTACGCTGCGTCAGGTTTAGCGCCACCCCCTTCTGGGTCCATCAGGGTTTGGTGAAGCCCTTGTTTCAACATGTTTCAACATCTCTTGCTTAAACAAGCTCCTTCGGGTTTCGCGGATTTTTTAGGGGCACCAGGGTCTGTCCAGCCCGAGCCGCGGAGGATCATGCGCTCGCGAGTCCCAGTCTGCGGCAGGTTCCGCTCCTGCAGCTCCTGACTGCCCAAAGTGGGGAGGCCATCCATTTGGCACGCAGCCTGTTGCCCGAAAATTGCCCAGAAGTGTGAGGTTGAATGGCATGCGGGGATGGACAATGAGCAATTTCCACTAGGATGACGTGAGCTGCACGCGTTTGTGGCGCTGTGGCGCTCAAGTTGCCCAAGCCACAACAGCCAAAGGGTTGGGCGAGGTAAAAGCGCAAAGCGTCTGCCAGTAGGGTCCTCGCCTAGCACGAGTGCGGCCAGAGACAATTACCAACCGGCGCTACCGAGCCCACAAGGTCTTTGCTTTTGCACTTGGTGCTCTGTTTCATTTGCTAAGCCTTCCAAATAACTCCTGCGAGCAGACTAGATCAAAAAAGACAGCACCAAATATTTCTGACAGCACAAGTTGCGATTCCTGCCGGCAAACTGCTTGTCACCTTGGCAGACCAAAACGAAGCAAAGCAGCACCAGCTTCCTTGGCAAACCCCGCCCCGTGTCAGGCTTCCCCATGAACGTCGGTCCTGCCGCAGGCAGTCATCAGACTGGCGCTCCAGGAATGTGATGTTATCAAAGTCTGCGGTGCGATCGTAGAGTGCCTCTGAGTAGTAGTGTCCTAGGAAGCTAAGGCACGGAGCACAACCCAAGGCTCGCTTCCGGCAGAAATCAACCGTATGCCGCGTCTTAGCATCATTTTTGCAACGTAGCGATGTAGGGCAAGTGGACAACGAGCCGAGTTGTGTCTTGTTCCATGTCGGCAGGCTTCCTATGCAAAGTTGTCCATAGAGAGGGGATGAGAGGGGTCAACACCAAACCGACGTGACTGCTTTCAAGAAACATGCAACAGGTTTTAAGAGTGACCTTCAGCAGCTGTCTTGCCAGGAAGCAAATGAAACCTGATGCCAGTTGCTGAAGCGCAGGCCAGGGGGCGATATCTCAGCACATACTGCGCCAGAATGTTCACCCCCACCTGAGTCGCAAAGCTGTTCCTTCTACTTGAATGACGCTAAATGGGTTCTGACAAATGGGCTCTAGCATGTTGTGCGACGCGTCCTCTCGGGAGCTGCAACCCAATTACTAGAACCTGCTTGGGTTCCCTGAAGTAGAATACACAAAGGGCCGTGCACCAAATATGTGAAACCCTTGTCACCCTTCTCAGTTAGAGACCGGGTGGTCCTTGTGCCAATTGTTGGGCAAGTTTGGCATGCCTCCAAATGGAATGCTACAGTTACAGTTCGAAGGACGCCAAACATTCATCCAATAGACATTGTCGAGACAGGAGCTTTGATGGGCCACGACGAAAGCATGGATTCCTGTGTGTGTGTGTGTGCATCTGAGCAGCGCCCAAAGCCCATGGACGTATCGTCGGTATAGTTCTACGAATGTGATTATGACGGTTTCTCTGACCAATCAACAAGGCAGCAAAACCGCCTGCCATGGCCAATGCAAGGTTTTGGAACGGGAATGGCGCTGGAGGTGCGCAACAAAAGGCTGCTTGAAGCAATGACTTTGAGCCCTCACCTTTATGGCTTGCCTTTTAACGCGCTGTCCGCACCTTCCATTCGTGCATAGAAGACGGTTGCATCAACCATGACCGCCCATATGCTGATGCAGTTCTTCAGTTCTTCCACCCGCCCTCAACCTGTTTCTTGTTTCTTGCAACCGCTCCCACCTCCTGAAGAGCAAAGGCAAAGCTTTGAGAGCGGGCAACTGGCTGACTGTTCGGACTCGGCGCGCTGTTGTGTTCATATGGCGCATTTCCACGTCCTGGAAACCACTCCCCAAAGACTTGCCGTTGCTCAGTAGGGGATGACCCAGGTTTTTGGGAATGAGGATAGAAAGGCTTATAGGGGTCATTCCGCCATATCCCTGCTGAGCATGAAGACCCTCCCAAACGTTAGTGGCTCGCAAGGCTAGGGCAAAGGAGCTCGAACCGACGCCGAGGGTCAGTGGCCATGGCCAGCAGTGTGAGGCTAGTGGTCAGCTGCAGCAGCAGCTGCGTGAAGTCGAACACCGCCAGCTGGCCCCCCGGCTGCACGTTGAAGAAGATACCTCATACCCCCATGTCTGTTCTGGCCAAACAGGTCTCACATCGCTTTTGCCTGCAGCCACCAAGCTGCAAATAGAAAAGTATATATATATATATGTACATATACATCAATAACCTGTACACATATACTACCCCCCCCCCCCAACAAAAAAAAAGAAGAAGAAAAATATGAACAACTTAGTGCTCATGAGTGTTCATATGGATTGCTGCATGTGATGTTTGAGCGTTGCACATGAATATTGGATTCGTTGCTTTGATTTGCAGATCGGGACAGCTGTCCCAAATTGCTGGATCTGAAGCTACTCACGTTGCATCTTGGCAAACCCATGCAACAAACAGGCGTATGAGTACACATGTTTCTCTGGCACCAGGTACGGGGTTTTGTGAGCTTGCTCGGTGTAGTTGCATTTAGTATTGATTGAGTAGTAGTATTGGTGAAGTCTCTTAGTACTTACGAGTTTCGTAGGACTATCAATTTGAGCGTTGCGCGTTCTAGCTTGGAATTAGCTTTGTATTGGTCCACTTGTTATCATGCAACCACCGGCCGATCACTAGCCGGTGCAGCCCTGGCCTCCAGCCCAGAAAATCCGTGCAACACCTGCAGGCTTCGGGAGCTCAGGATAAATGATCCCATGATCCCCCGGTTGAATAGGGGGGCGCCCCATTGTAGCGGAAACCTTTCACTTTCCGTGGCGAAAAAAAACATATTTCTCTGCTAGCTTTATTCATCTAGGGTCGGCCCGCTGGCATTGCAAAGCAAGGCTACCATGCATATCCTTCTTCAGCATCTTGTGGCCATCTGTTGACAGCGGCGACAGCACCGTCGTCTTGAAGGTGCTCTGCGGTATCACAGCCGGCTTGTACACGTAACCTGGGTCCAAGCCACGCACGGAAGTACCGAGATCAGGCTTCTCAAGCTACGTGTGTTTTCTTGAGGGTCCGTCAAAAACGAGCGTGCCATCTTGCCCTGCGGCTGCCGAGCGGCTAATTTTGCGAGATCATCTAGGCCCAATCCCAATGGCATTGCAGCCGAGGCGCTGATGTTGGTCTGCAGCCCATGCCAAGCCTTCGAGTTGCTGTAGTCAATGATCAGGTTGATCTTAGCTGGAAGGGGTGAAGGGTGGCATGCGTTTCACAAGAAACCTGTTGGCCACCCACTGGCCACCAAGTTTACCCAAGTGTCAAACTCACAAACGAACGAGGAAAATTACTCACTTACGACCACGGACATTCACTCTTAAGTGCCGACACCACAAATGCGAGAGTGGAGCGACTTTTCGCAAGAAACCCCAGCGCTGGGAAGCTCCCAACTCAGTTTGTCAACATGGAAGCCGGCTAACCAAAAAAAACAGCCGAGAATTGCTCACCTTGGGGCACCTCCTTTTTGGGGGGTCCACGTTAATCACGGGAGTAAACAGAACCGGGCGCACCCAGGAAATGAACCACTGCCCCGAGCCCGTGGAAGGCCTCCAGCATTGGCTACATGGGGGGCACCTGCTCAAAGCTTGCAAAAGGCGCACACCACGCTTCAGACCCTAAGAGCCTAGATACCAAATGAGGACTCTGTAAGAAACATGGCAGCACAGGTGCCGGTCGAATTTCAGCAAGAAGGGCCGAAAGGCTGCCTTCAACTTCAAGAATTCGAATGCATGGAGGGGGAAGTCTTTTTTGAGGTTAGCCGTTTTGGCGTGGTGCTATACGGATGCCATTAGACAACCACCCATCTTTTGAAGGGGGCGGGTCCCTTGATTGAGACGACCCGCATGCCCGCGACAAGCTCTCAAGAACAGCATGCAGCCAATGATGCTGTCGGCTTCCGTGAGACTTCGACGCAACCGCCCAAAGACCCATGGCAATCAAGAACACCTGTCACCGGCTCCATGCTTCGAAGGCCCTGGGGCCCTGGGGCCTGGGAAACGCAACTGAACAAATGGAAAAGCAACTCCTAGCTGTTGGTCAGAGGTTGAGAAGCCACCAAGGCGCGCAAATGCCATCGTACCTTGCAGAGTGGCCGCTGCCTGCGATGCGTGGCGCTTCTCAAGGCAGGAGCAGGGGAGGTATGGTCCCAAAACCTTTGCCGCCTGGGGGAGTGCTTGGGGCACCTAGGAATGGACAGGTCTGCATGCTCGATAAATTGAGGTAGGGCCTTGTGCTGGCAACGGGGCATGGTAACGAGAGACACTGAGACGGAAGAAACTGACTAAGGCCCGGCAGAGTGTGTGAGGGCAACATAGGGAGCTTGAGAACCCAAAAGGTGCGCAATTTGGGCATGTTTGATCTTGGGCCACTTGGCTGCCGGACTGTGAAGACCAATTCTTTGAATGAACAATTTGGCTTTGAATAAATTTGAGGAATCGGCCTATCTGTTGGGCACATATGATTGGGCATACAAGACAAACAACTCATAAGAAAGGTTAGCTAGATGTCAACTGGGATCGACGAGGGCTCCTCAAGCTACTCAGCGTGCCAAATTGTGAGCATTGACTGCGAGCTCCGAAGCTCTCAGCTCAGGACTTTGGGCTCCTCATTTGGCTCAAATCTTGTGCCCTAGGGCCCCCTGGAGACGAACCACCGGTCGCACAGTGAATGCTTGGCCTGGGTAGCTCTCGCTCTCCAGGGAGACCCCTGCAGCCTCACGAGCGAAGTGCCGGGCCATTCTGGGCCTCTCTTAAGGCACTCAAAAAAATCGTCATCCGAGCTTGTGGCTGTGGGTGAAAATTAGGTACCCAAAATGGAACCTTGGAAAATGGAAACATGGACTAAAACCCGCGGTCCCCGAGTGGTTCAATTTTGACCCACACCCGTGTTTTGCTTGAAAGTGTGACTTGGAATCGGCAGCTACGCGCCCACCCAGAAAGTCACCAAGACCAGAACCCAGAGCAGGTCCTGATGAAAAAACCCTAGGTGGAGAGGCAGGGCAAGGTGTTGTGCATGTTCTTCCCAAGGAAGGCTGTTGTCTCCTGGATGCCTGTCACGCAATTATCTTAAAAGCCCCTCGCAAAGCTGTCAAGTTTCCAAGTCATCCGCAAGAAAGGCCCTAATGGTTTTGTCTTCAAGTGCGAACCCAAAAATTGGGGCACGACTTCCCCTCAGCTGCAAACTCTGTCCAGGGGAAAAACAGAAGGAGTTGGCACACTGTAAGAAGGCGAAATCGGCGAAGTGCTCAACCCCTCCCTTTGGTTTGCCCTGACAGTCTATACACTGAGAATTTGCGCTGCTTCACGGCCCTCACTTGTAATGCACCAAGTTCCTGTCATACCCTCGAGTCTAGTAGTTTAGGGGGCTGGGCTGTCTTCAGGAAGTAATTACTCGTTTGTTTTGTGTTGTTTTGCTTTTTGTTTGTTTTGTGTTTTTTTTGGGTTGGGGGGGGGTACTGATCGGATTGTTTCGTTCCCTCCCCCGTTTTTGCGGGTCCCTTTGGTGCTTGTGCCCTGCGCCGGGATGGAGCCGGGCCTTCAACAGCGTGCCCACGGGGAAGAAGTCAAGGCCCGCCACCGAGCTGGGCCGCAGATAGCACGGAGACTGAGCAAGGCGGATCTTGACGTGCGACGCTTAGAGGTCCAAGCTTTTCTGGCGTCAGAATTGCCTTCAAGGGGACACATGAAAGCCGTTCTATCGTTGGCCACATGGCGGTGCAGCTGCGCTTCATGAGAAACAACTCTGGGCCCTGAGAGCCATGATGACAAATATCACCAGCAAGCCTTGGCAACCATCCACGGAGCAGCATGCCGCAAGGGGCGAACAAACTAAACCATGCTTCTGCGTGGCTCTCGCCGAGCGGCTCGATCTGTGGTACTGCCACCATCGGGTGCAGTCTTGGCGCCGGGGAGGCTGCAAACAGCGTCCTTCGGCTCGAAGCACTGGGGTCCGCGGCTGAATTATCCTTTTGGAAAATAGATGGCGATGGTACAAGATAAGTACAACGCTGAAGGGAGTCCTTTTCTCAGCCAAAATGGCCAAGGAAACCTACGTATGTTCAGGCGGCGCTTCTTTCTCTTTTTGAGCATGCAGGGTAGCGTCGCTGAAGGAGCCAACCATGCAAAACAGCATTCAAGCAAAGCAAGGCATCAATCCGTGCTCGTACCAGTCTGAAAGTAACTAACACATTCCTCCGATCAGAAATAAATCCAGCCTCTAGGGTGAAGGTACCAGGTCGGCAGTAGGCAAACAAAAAGTGAATGAAACCAGCAAAACAAACAAACGCAAGGTAACACAATCAACAACAGCAAGATCAAGAGAGCGCCACCCTGTGCCGTTCCACTCAGCCAACCACGACTCCCAGTCCTTGATCGCCTTGGCCGCATCATCGTCATTTCCGTTTGGGCCCACGAACAAAGTGCCCTAAGGAAGGCGGGCGGTAACGATGGGATCATGGAGCTGACGTTGCCACACGGTTGCTTGACAGAGGATGGCGCTGAGCTCATACAAACTCCCCGCATGCCATTTGCACGGGAGGACTCACTTCAAGAGCTGTGGCTGCTAGTTCCGCAATACACCCATTGGCACAGTGATGCGCAGTGCAAGCAGCGCCCTGTATCTTTGTCCAGCACATGCTGGAGCCAAGCTGTTTCAACATGTCTTGATTGCAGTCTGCCTGAAGATTCAACTTGCGGGCAAACCAACGGTGTTTTTTTAGGCCCCAAACCAGCGCTGAAGAGACATTCGACAAGCCTCCCCACAAAACTGTGATCCCCGGAGTTCCCAGCCCCAGACCGCCTGTAGCGTCCGAGAGCTCATGGCTAAGCCAGATTTCGGCGAAGTCACCGAGTGATCCTCGCGGCGGCACGAAGATGAGCCACGGGTATACCGGAAAAGCAAGACGTGGCGGCTAGTCAAACCCTACTACTTCCCAATGTCAGGTGGGGATTGAGTGCAGTATTGGGGAAACAGAATTCCTCATCAGCCATGGGGATCGTGCCATGTTCAGAGAAGCCAGCAAATCAGCAGCGAACACACAAGGCAACAACACGGCCGGTCTGAAATTTGGAAGCAAGCCGACTCTTTGCAACTGGGAACTTCATTTGCGATACAACTTTGAGACCGCCTAGTAAAGCGATAAAGTAGGGGCCTTCCGCCGCATGCATGCTTGCAAACCACGTGCTTGCCAAAAGCGACTGAATATCAACCACAGCCTGCAGCCTTGCCTCCCCATAACCTGTTTGATATACACTGTTCAAGGGGCAGTGGGTCACAGTAGGGCCTAAGCGAAGACTGTCATAAACAAAAAACTAAGCAGCAAGTAGCCGCCCTTCCAACAGCGAAATTCCTTGATCATCCCAATGCAAATCTGCGCGGCCTTTGGCCTGATCGACTGCTTTCGGATGTCTTCGGAAGCTTGTCTAAAGCTTGAACATATCACAAACGGGCCCAAGCAATCAACTGCCTGCAGCATCTCTAAACCTACAAGCCTACAAGAGCCGGGGAAACACATGCAGTTCACAGTGACAGGCAGGTTCAGAACTCGCATATGAGCTCCCTTTAGCAGCTGAACCAAGCCCTACGGGGAAAAGGGGCGGGGGAAGGTGAGGTCCCGAGATGAGAAGGCATGAACTCCCGCCCTCCGCGCCGAGGACAGGCAGAGAGCCATGCCACCCGTCAGCCAAGCAGCGATGAGAACCGTGTAGTCCTCAACTCCGGCCGTGAAGACTTGCGCCTGCGCGCGAGTTGGAAATGAATCCTTGATTCTAGTTCGAAGTGCCAAGTGCCAACAGGGCCCCACCTTCTACAGATTCTATAGGACACCCACAGAAGGATCTGAAGTGGCTTTAAGCATGCGAAAGCCGGTGAGTTCAACTTACGCTTCTGTTGCAAAGGATCTCACTTTAGGCGCCAGAAAGGATCACACGTGTTGTTGGCATGCCGGAACTGCCTGATTGGCTCCAAAGCTACAAGCCACTTCATCCATCACTCTCCGACATGGCAAGTTGGAAGCTGACATTTCTCTTCCAGTACTCCTGTCCTGCTCGCTCATCAGCCAAAGGTCGTCACAGCTATCCAAAGCAGAAGGGTATGTGGAGAAGCAGCTCGAGTTCAAAGTCTGAATGTACTCCTTAGCCGGTGGTTGAGTCCCCCTTTCATTCCTGCTTCGGGAAGGAACGCTAACATACCGTACCTGCTCATTCCGCAATTTCAATTGTTGGATAGTGCCGGTTTCAGTGCCGACGAAACCGGTGAACAACTAGAAGCTGGCAGCACACAGTGCAACCATGGGGCATGGGTGAAAGTACCCACGATGATCGAGCTTTCTTGAATAACAGAAGCATCCGTGCCACTGAGCAAGGTGCAGTTATAGTCCTTGAAGCTTGGGCGGTAGTCACACCTCAGCATGGCCCGATAAACGCCGGCCTGCGAGCCATTGCACGCGACAGGGTCGCCAAAACCTGGTTCACCCCACAAACTTATAGGCCCGCATTCGCACATCATCACACGTCCTCCCCCACAATTCCGCCCATCTGCATTCACGCCGAACCCTCTGAGTCCGAAGGAAAGACTGCATCCTGCCGAGGGCTTCTACGAAGTCATACAAGATGTGCTTGAAAAGGAGCCAAGGAGTTGCCACAGTGCTTTGGTGGATCAACAGGTTGTGTCCCTATTGATGCAATTCCGTGCCGATGTTGGAAGCCAGGAGCCTCATCGTGTGCTCCGCTCGGACATGTCACACGTCATCAGAACACATGCCCCTTTACTAGCCTTGGACCGTGAGTCCCAAAAATCGCTCGAACGCGTCTTTTCACGAAACATGAGCCATCCTCAAATGGGGCACGAGCAAGAGCCGTCCGCATTGGCCTTACAGCTGGAGTTCTGCGCGCAGCAGTAGGGCAGCTGGCTGAGCGGAGGGAAGGCATCCTGGAGCCAAGTGCCAACCCAAAGCAAGCGACTCGCCGATCTCATTCCAGCTGACATCCAACGATCCTTAGGATGGAATCCAGCCAAAATACGAAAGGCAAGTTGCTGGCACCTGGTGTTTTATTTCAAATTTTGTCAACCTGCACGCAAAGAGGCATGAAGTTACATTTTTGTGGCGAAGGATCGGGCTTTGGGTGCCTGCCCTGGGTGCATGTCCCACCCATGCGGCAATGGCATGCAAAGTAGGGAGCTACACTACCAGTTTCTGCCATTGGCTGCCCACATAAAGCGGCCATGTGGCTAGTGAACCTGCGATCCCAGCCAGTTGCAGGGCAATGAACGAGCTTTGTCCGAACTTGCCATGTTCACTGATGCTTCCCTGGGGGTGTATAAGTCTGCATACATAATGCTCTGTCAGAAGCTGGCACGGTCCTTGCAATCTGCGTCGTTGGGGTTGCAAGAGTCCAGCGTAGGCTCTTGCAACGTGAGACGCACCGAGTTCTGAGCATCGTTGAACTTCAAATAGCCTGCGGCAGGCGGTTTGCTGCGATATGTCTGAAATGTGGCCGAGTGAGCCTAAGTACATAGCTTCTGTAGTTTGGAACAGAATGGTTCTGGCCAGGATGTGGCTGATGTGGCCTCGATTTTTGCGAGACACCGGAGAAACAAATGTTAAAAGCACTCACAATCAATTTGGCAAATGCTCGCTGGATAGGGAATATATACAAGCTGGTATCAACCTAGTTGGGCAGGGCCCCCTTTTCAATCCAGATCCATGAGATGGTGTGGTTGACTGATTGGGCTGCCTAATTGCCCAATGAGCTGGTACACCAGGATGTACACGACGATGAAAAACATCAGCGTGTAGTGCAACAGCCCTCAGGTCTGTTTTCAGGAGAAAAAACATGTTGAGAAACAATGCGCGACCTGGAAACATCCGCTGCGATAAAGCAACTTGCGACCTGGCACCACCCCGCCGAAATCAATTCATGTCAACGGACCAAGTCCGACAGCAGGTCACAAAACACAAAGCACGCCGCTTGCTAAAAGAGAACACCCTGCCACCCTGGAGCGAGTACACAAAAACATCACAGCATGTGCCACCATTTTCAGTGGCAGCAATCAACGTGGATACCAAGAGTCCAAGTCTGGCATCACGGATCTTGATGTACTTGGTGGTGCCTGAGCTGCTTTCAAGTTGTAGAACGGTGCAGCCCAACGTGCCCCAAAAGCAAACAAGCAAAAACAGTTCGTGGTCAAATTGTCAAATGGCTGTTGCCATTTCTCTTTGCAACCACGCGGCTATACGCAAACAAATCTGACACATCTGTGCCACAAATGGTGTCCGGCAGGCAGTTCCGCCTACCGCAGCAACAGCGAAGCACCATGGCTGCTGCAGGGCGAAACGAGCTCTGGGGCACGAGTCGCCCGGAGAGTGCTTTAACCGTCATGATGTTGTTTTTGGTATGCTGTCACACCGGCCCTAGCCGTCGTATTCCTTTTGATGTTACGTTCTTAGATCCTTGTTGCAACCGCCCACACGTTCGCGCATGCAAAAGGCTCAACAACTTAGCTAAAGTTGGTTCTGGCCCTGCTTGCCACTTCAGCTCTTTTCTCCTGTGCTTTGCAGTCGTACATGCGGGAAAAGGCTGCATAATCGTTGACGCCTGCGCCCGCATGACACGGCAACATCAGCCAAGGTGTCGCACTAGCCACAACGCCCAGGCCAGCATGCGCCAGCCAAGATCCAACAGCGATGATTCCTCCCAAGTCGTGGCTAGGCGAATTCAATTGAGTTTGCCTGCAAATCTAGCGCAGTTCCAGTATCATAATTCGCCCCTAGTTGTAAAATGCATGACGAACAGGTATTTGTTACACAACGCTCTGGCTAAATGGCAGCAAAGCTGCGCGAAGTAGAGTTGCACAACATATGCACAGAGAAGCCCTTGCGCAAAGCATGCGCAATGACGTATTGCTTTGCACGGAACGCTTGCAATGGTAGAATTTGCGCAACAACATACTTGGAAGCAAACAACACCAACAAACACTTGTACAGAGCCACGCTTGCACAAACAACGTTGACAAGATTTAAGAATGGGAGTCCTGGTCTCATGCAGCACTTTGACAGCAGGCCTTTTGCACACAAAGTACAGAGCCCTACTGGCTGCAAACAGCAAACTCAGAATGGAACAAATGGAGATCGAGTTAAGCCGCGGTAACAACTTCCTGCCGCCTGTCATCCAAACAGTGCGGCCCAAACAGGGGGGCCAAACATGAGGACCTGTGCGTCAATCTAAGGGAAAGGATCCAATGCATGAAGCACTAACAGGGACTGAGACGGCTCATGAAACATTAGTGCAAGTCGGTGCATCGTTTTGTGCATACAAATCGATCTATGGTTCGTTATAATACACGTCCATGTCCGTTTCTGCTCACACAATCTGTCAAACAAATACGACATGTATTGGACCACATGAGACATAAATTTAAGTGGACAAATGAAGCTCATAAATCCATTTACATCTGACCATACTGCCAATGACAGCATGCATCCATCAATACGAAACATAAAAAAATAATCTGTTCGCAGCCCGGAGGATTCGGAATGGCCCACGCGTAAGAGCTGGCAAGTTCGGGCTATCTAACAAAGCTGCCTGGGGCGCTTCGAATCATCTGAATGGCCGTCTGGTTTCGGGCAAAGGGCCTTGCAACCTTTGGGTGTGCCTGGGGAGACGGCGGCTGTCATTTGTTTCTTGGCTGGAGGCCCAATGAAGTGATCTGTGCGCTCGCCTGCCATAACGACTAGCTGGCCAAGTGCGCTGTTTCTTGCGACTGTTTCATTTTGCAACCCTCATTGCGCGCATCTGGAGAGCAACTGGCTCACTTGCTATGGAAAGCCGAGCCATGGGGCCACGGCCAATTAGCATGTATTTTTTGGGGTCCCCTCCCTTCATGCCTTGGTCAAAAAACCGAAGCTGGATTTGCTTTAGAAGTTATAAGTAGTTGCAAGTTAACAAACAACTTGTTTCTAAATGTTGACTAAGTATACGCATACTCGCGTTCTTAGGGCTTGTTCGAACACGCAACAAAACGAACAACGGCCCAGAGATCCTGCAAAGACATCTTGTGCAGAACTTTATGAGCGCTGTGCTGCTTAAACATACTCTTGAGTGATCCTGGCGCACACAATGTTCCGTCTGCAGAGTTCCTGTGCAGTGCATTCATGGGGATCAGGGATCTTGCGCTAGACTGCTTGTGTAGATCTTACCGTGGTCCTTGTCCCCTTCGTTTGGCGTCTCTTGAGGCTCCAAAACTGATACACCGTAACTCAAGGCTCAAAGCGTGCCTGAGCGCCGCTATCGGCTATGGCTGGATGCTGTTTGCAGCAGCGGTCAATTGCAGCTGCGACCACTTGCGCGTAGTTGGGCTCAATTGATCCCACTTGCGCCCCCGGTCGCAGTCAATCGCGCCCATTTGCGTGGCTAACGTCAATTTGCATAGTTGTGTCACCTTCGTCCAGTTTCAAGCAGTTGCTCCCTCGGGATTTACGCGCGGGCGCGGACAGCGTCCAACAACGATGACTGAACTGCAGGAGTTGCGCTGCCTTCAAAACAATTCCACATTGCAAAGCGAAGCCGGAAACACAAGCAAGCCCATTTTGCGTCTGCACGAACGAGGTGCTGCTTGGTCTGATTGACATCAGACATCTCTGTCTCAGCGAGACCTTAGCGAAAACAAGGCAATCAAAATTCCACTCGCGCGGGTCTCACCGGGAAGCAACCTGGAGCTCTTCGAGCGGGCGCAACGCTGTACAGGTTTGGAACTTGTTGCAAAGGAAATCAACATGTTGGCTAAATCGGGGGGGGTTGCCCGGACCCGATGAACCTTGCACGCGTATTGCAAGTCATCGAGTGATCGAGTGGTTTCAGTTGGGCCGTAACCACCATCCCTGCCCCCCATCTTCTGTGTTTTGCAGACCATTGACCTTTAGGCAATCAGTTTGTATCGCGTATACATGTTGGCTCCGTTTTCTACCATAGAGTGCAGACTCGCCATAGAAAAAGACCTCGCTGCGCTCGCTCTCAGCACATACTCATACACTGTATTCCGCAGGAGTTTCCGGACTGTCAACCATCAGGTCATCAGGTTCTCGTTGAGAAACAGATGCGGGGTGATAACCAAAACGCAGGACACCCCACCCCACCCCACCCCTCATTACGACAGGTGATTGCCAGGGAGGATGTTTGTGAGCACCACCCCCCCCCACCCGGCAGTATTGAAAGTCCGGGCAAACCCCCCCGATGTACCCAACATGTTGCCACAGGCTGGACAGTGACGAGGCTCTGCAGCCTTAACTCAAAGATTTAATGTGCTCGTGACCCAACTCGTCTGCAAGAACCCGGTGCAGCGCCTGAACTCCTGGCTTGATTGAGCAAGCCGCAACCTGTCGAGGGGCATTCGATTCAACCCATGCCAAGGTGCGACGGGTTGACATTGGCGCATAGAATGTCCAAGCGCGCGCATCACGGCCAGAGCTGTCGTTCCTGAAATGCAAAGCGTTCTCTGCGCAAGCTCGGCTGCCTGGTTGCCTTCTGTCTCAATCATGCGGAGCCCTCAGCCGGCAACAGTGCCAATGAGACTGAGTAACATCTCATCCAATATTGATTCGCAGCCATAACAAAGGCCACCCCGTTCCGTCGAGGAACTGCTCCACGACCGAAAAGAGGCTCCGTGATGCTCCGTGACCTGCAGCCCCGCCGGCGCCTCAATGACTCGAAGGCTTTTCGGTGTCCCCCTTCCCCCAAGAGGTGCAAAGTGGGCCATTTGTTTGCCTTCCCTTCAACTCAAAAGTGTGTGCGCAAAACCCCCAGCTGAGCTGGGCATGCCCAAAAAACAACATGCATTGTTAGAGTGTTTGCTTGTGCTCTACGATGTTTCGCATTGCTTGACATGTGGAATGACCAAACCATGTGTTTAAGCTCGATTTGACTCCATGGATTGAAGTGCCTTCAACAAGGAAATGTCTCGTTTCGCATGCAAAACTAATAGCAAACAAAGCACCTCGAGAACGCCACACAAAAGCAATGGCTTCAGCCCCAAAATGTGCTTTTTGCTTTCGAGGCTTTTTTGGTGAGTGTTCCATCAGTGTGTGCTTTTGACATTCTCTCTCACAAGCAACAAACAAATTCGAGGTTTGTTTGTGGTCACCCCTTGCCATTACCATGCAAGTATAAATGCCTGCCGCGCTGCACCAATCCTTTCCCCTGAATACGTTCCAGGTTCTAAGCCCTCCCCTGAAATTTGGTTGAGCGCTGTTTAGGTCAGAGCGGATTTAGGCTAGCTTTCGAGTTAGCTGAAAAATGTAGACTTGACCAAGGGAAACATGGGCTGCGTAAGGTGTGCTCAGGCAGCGCGTGAGGCAAACCACGACCAATTTTTGTGCATGTCACATTTGAGAACTAGCAGCGTTCAATTGTTTCAGGAGTAGCTGTTAGATGGCGCTCGGAAGCCAATCTGGCTACACATGTTGCTAGCCCCGGGGTGAAGTTTGCCAAGATCTCTAAACTATAGGAAAACTGCACATACAAATCAGGTCTAGGGGGGCGCAGGGGTTTCTGCTGCGCTCCTTGTCAGCTGGGGTGCCCCTTTCCAGGCGCAAACGCCGGCACAATTGCAATTTACTACATAAATCGCTACATGGGCTTCCTGTAGGCCTTGCTGAACCCTTACGCCTGGAACACAGCGTGCCAGTACTGGAAAGCCGGCTTGCACGGCAGCATGTCCTTTTCAAGTGTAGCACGCAAAGGCAAGGGCTACTATTCAGAAACATTGCCAAGGCCTGCCTTACACGTTGCGCGCATGCAGACACTGTCCGTTTTGGCGACTTCTTGCGACAAACTAGGCTAATCAAAGAACATGGTCATGAACGAATGATGATTGAACAAATGGCTTGCGCACAATGCTTGCGCGCCATATCTCGTTCCGTCAACATCTGCTTACGCCACCTTACGCCCATGGAGGCTTTGCGTCCAAGACAGTGCCCTTGTCACATACGACGCCGAGGTTTCACACGTTGCTACAAGCATCTTCACTTCAAGCAAGATGCGTGATATTTAAGAAGGGATGGAAAAAAAGGCACAACGCCGCGCAAACATGGCACAAATAAGGCAAACCCGTCAAATGATGAACCTTCCGCGAGGCGCCTGCAAACAAGCTAGTTAGGCGCGGCGATGGATTCGGCGGTCTTACCCGCCCACCCACCCAACCACGCACCTACACTTGCGGTTGCACTTACTCTTACGCTTTTCAGCTTCCCTCTAATTGGCGGTTTGGATTGGTGGCTTGGTGGTTGAGGTGAGGTTTCCCATGTTCCTTCTACAAAGGCGGCTTTTCCCAAACCACCAATCCGAACCACCAAAGGCTTAC